CGCGCAGGCGCGGTGGCCTTGTTCCGCGGAGGCCACCCTGGTGCGCGCGGGCTCCGCGCCTGACTCGCGTTTCTGTCGCCTGCGGGTACGGCATCGGTTTTGCACGGCGCTTGGTGGCCGCAGACTGGCGTGACGGCTGCCAGCCGACAGCTTTGCCTACCACCGACGGACCTCCGCAAGGGTGGTGAAAAACTCCTGCCCTTGCCTGCCCCGTGACCTCGGGCACGTCATGGCACCAGCACACGTGAGCCGTTCGCGGTGAACGCCACGACTGTCCCTGCTGCTGTGGGGAACTACTCTGGAGCTGGAGTTCTTCCGTGGGCGGGCTGGCCAGTCTGGAATGGGATGTGGCCAGTCTGGAATGGGATGTAAAAGTTCCAGGTGGCTGGCTGGGGCAGGAGCGGCGACAGCGAGCGACCGTGATGCTTCCCAGGGGCTCGGCGACCGCGACGCCTGCACAGGGGCGGTGGAGAGAAGGGGCATGGGTGGACGAGGGTCACCCGGCACGCAGGGTGTGCCCGCTCCGGATCACACCCGAGAAGACATTCTGGTAGCCACATGTGAGCGACGAGACAAGAATAACCTTGAAACCAATCTAATTTATTTCTTAAAAAAGTAAGTTATTACATACTTCAATTAATAATACTACCGAATTACTTAAGAATGCACCTCAAAACCTGTCGTCACGCACGGCCTGTCTCAGGGCTGCTGTAAGCCCTGGTGGGCTAAGAGGCCTCCACCAGAGAAGTAAAGTGGTCAAACGTTGTCCTAGGTGTTGATTTCCTTCACAGCAAAGCACTTGACTGTGCACGCAAAACACACTGTCAAATTGAAGTGACACCATGTGTGCATTGAAGGACCTGGGAAGGAATCTCTCAGCATACAAGGCTTTAGTTTCTTCTTGTTTCTTTTCTTCTAAGTAAAATCAATCACGTCCTGGGTCACACTAAGAAGTATGTGAAATGACCTCTAGTCTTAAGGCATGCACATTGTGGTTGGGGGCACAAGCTAAAGTCCATTAAGTATTAGGAAGCAAGTGAACATATAGTAAGGTTTATAATGTGTGTGTCCCCAGCATTCATATGTTGAAATCTAATTCCAAGTGAAATAATATTTGGAGGTGGGGCCTTTGGGAGGTAGTTAGGTCATGAGGGTGGAGCCTTCATGAATAGGTTAGTGCTCTTACAAGAGGCCAGCGAGCTGTCTTGTCCTCTTTCCACCATGTGAGGATACAGTGAGAACATAGCCTACAACCAGAAGAGAGCCCTCACTAGAACCTGACCATGCTGACACCTTGGTTTCCCACTTCCAGCTTCCACAATTGTGAGAAATAAATTTCTGTTGTTTTTAAATCACCCAGTCTGTGGCACTTTGTTATAGCAGCAGCACAGACTAAGACAGGGATGAAAAAGACTGGAAGGAGCTAATGTGTGAACTGAGTCTGGAAGGAAGAGTAGGATCTGAGACAGGATCAGAAGAGGAAGGACTCCCAGGGAGAAGGAGCAAATCTAGGAAAAAGTTGGAGGAAAAAATTCAGGTGATATGACAGAGTGACCAGGGAGACCAAACTCTCAGAAGCAGGAGGCTGTTTCTCTGAGAGGCAGCAGAGAAACAGAACAGAATGTGGAGGGCATGGGAGGCAAGCAGACCAAGGTGGGAGGCAGGCAGACCAAGGTCCTTATGTCATTACAGTGAGTCCCACCAGCTGACATCTACTGCACAGAGCTTCCAGTAGCATTTTTTCCTTACTCCTAAATATATGGGAGGCAAGCAGACCAAGGTCCTTATGTCATTACAGTGAGTCCCCACCAGCTGACATCTACTGCACAGAGCTTCCAGTAGCATTTTTTCCTTACTCCTAAATATATACAGAAAACCAAGGACCAACAGACATTTGAGGAAGACAGACAAAAAAGTAAATAAGTAAAATAAAAGTAGCAGGAAGAAGAAAAAAATTCAAGAAAAAAAAGTTATAAAAAACTTTATCTGCAGTCTCTGAAGATGGCATTACTTCCATGAAAGAAGGAAAAAGATATATAAAAGAACATTCAGAGAATAAGAAAGAGCTCTTGAAAACTAAAAAAGCAACAACTGAAATGTAAAAATCAATGAAAGAAGATAAATTTGATATCTTGGATGATAAAACAAAAAAAGTTGGAGAAAATGTAAGAAAATTAGAAGATTAATCTAAGAGGTGTGACATTTAAAAAACAGAAATTATAGGAAAAGAGAATAGAGAAAATGAACAGAAGGAAATTACTCAAGAAATAATTCAAGAAAACTTCAAGATCTAGGAGACATGCTCTCATATTGAATGGGCCCACCCAGTGCCCAGCACAACGAACCTAACAGATACACAAGTCACATCATCACAAAATTTCAGAACACCAAGAATAAAGAAAAGATCTTAAAAGTTTCCAGCAGGAAAAATAAAAATGTCACATATAAGGGACTGGAAATCAGAATGGAATGGAAATTCTCCATAGAATCCCAGGAAACTGAAATGCAATGGAGCATTAACTTAAGATTCTGAAGGAAATAATTCCAACATAGAATTTGACTCTCAGTGGATATATTATTTAAGTTTGTGGGCAGGATAAACATATTTTCAGATATGGAAGCGCAAAAATATTATCTCTGAAAGCTACTGCAGGATATTCTCTAAAATTAAGAAGTAGGTCAAAAAAGAGGAATATTTAGGACCTAGACAGCAGGGAATCCAACTGAGGAGAGACGAGAAGGGAGGTCCTAGGCAATAAATTCTAGATTGGGGTATAGAGGCATCCAGGAGAAATATCTCCAGAAAAAAAGTGAAACCCATGGAATGATTTGTTTAAAAGGGGATCTTCAGAGTTTGGTGATGATAAATAATAGCTAGATAGGGAAGTCAATAAGCAAATCAACCAGGAAATATGGAATTCAGTAAAGACAAAACAATGTATGAAAAAGGAAATGTAATCATAGCATATGCCTCGGCTGTGAAGAATAGTCACATAAGTATAAGGTAAATACTGAATGGTAATTTAATCAGAAAGGATGCTGTAACTGTTTTTGAAGAAAGGAATGTGTGTTTATAAATGTGTGTGTGTCTAAGAAGCGAGAATGGGAGAGTTACGTCTTCCTCTTGTAGAGCTAGGAAGGCCACAGACTACATACACGACTGGAGAGTAAGGACAGTGTTAGAAACCCCTTTTCAAAAAATATGAGAGTAAATCCCAAAAGAAGCTAAGAGAGAGGCGTAGGGGAGGGGCCTGGGAGTGGGTGTGGACAACTGATGTCCTTACAAACCTAGAAATAGTGTTTGAATTTAAAATCTGTAAGCATATTACTTTGATAAAAGGAAAAATGTTTAATTTTTTTAAATTTAAGTTTTAAAACGTGGTTAAATAGCTAGTCCAAGTGGTAATAAGTGGCACACTTGTTACTCAAACTCCAATCTGCCCGTCTAATTTCTACGGCTTTTAAAAATTGTTTTTACTATAATACACTACAGTGAAAGAAAGGAAAAAGTCAAAGATGACCTCACAGTCTCTTTCTGGGCGACTAGAAG